CCTGTACCTTTTATCCTGTGTTTCTGTTCCTCTGCCTATCTGATTTGTTGCCGACTCTGCATTGTTCCTGACCCTGCTGACCGTCTCCTGTTTAACCCCTGGCTTGCCTGACCATCCCTTCTGCCTGATCCTCTGTACCGTGCTGCCCGTGAGTTACTGAACCCGGCTTGTGACCCTGACCATTGTCTGCCTGATCCACTGTACCGCGCTGCCCGTGAGTTACTGAACCCGGCTTGTGACCCTGACTATTCTCTGCCTGCTCCTCCGGTACCTCACTGCCCGCACGTTGCTAACCTGGCCTGCCTGACTACGCCTGACGCTACCCAGATGATCCATCCATCCCGCACGAATCCAGTCACTACTGTCCAAACCTGCCAGCCCCTTCACATCAGGCTTTCCCCGGGTACATACCCTTGGCGGACCCCTCTACCACAGTTGGGTGCGCTCAGGGGCCGCAACCTGGTCTCAGTCCTGCGCCAAGTCCATCCCCACCATCAGGGGCTCTGGTGAAAAGGCAGACTGGGGCTTAGACTCCGCGCCCTGGGGAATCGTGTTCTGTGGGTCACTAGAGATCCCGCCGGGCGGTGCCTGACAGTACCTTATGGCCCGCCTGACCATTCCACCTCTCCAGCCCTGAGTACGCCTGTGTTCCTGAAGCCTGCTACTTCCCTGTGTCAGTCCACACAACAGGGTACATGCAGAATCATGGTTTGTTTCCTTAAATTGCAGTTTGAACCAGAAGCCTGAGATGAAAAAGCACTTTGTGGACTTTATGCAGAAGGTGTTTGAGAGAGATCATGCTGAGCCTGCACCTCCTCTTACGGAAGCAGAAGAATGTTGGTACCTACCATGCTTTGGTGTCTACCATCCCCGCAAGCCTGATCAAATTAGGGTGGTCTTTGACTCAAGTGCTCGTCATGAAGGCTTCTCCCTCAGTGACAATCTTCTAACTAGGCCTAATCTGAACAACAATCTCATAGGAGTTTTACTTCACTTAAGACAAGAGCCAATTGCTGTTATGGCTGACATTCAGCAGATGTTCCACTGTTTCATTGTCTGTGAAGACTACAGAAACTTCCTCAGGTTCCGATGGTACCACAATATTGATGTCAATGATGAAGTCATATAATATAAAACAAAGTGAGCGCTACTAATAAGTTATCAATGGTCAAATAAGCAGCTAAATGCACTGAAGATGATCACAACCACTTCTGAAAAAATAAATAAGTAAAGTGCAGCGCTCAAAATTATGATATGAAATTTTACAAAATTCGATCTAAATAGTTCGATCAAAAATAAAAGTTCGTAAAATCTTGCGAACGATTCATGAATATGGTGAGCACAGCTTATAACAAATCCAGAAAATGGCAGAAATGCGCACTCACCGACCGCGCATAGGAAATGCGCATATATGTATCAAATCCCCCAGATGTCGTTATCCTCCGGGAAGAGGTGTCGTTAGTCAATCTGCTGGGCTAGCAGGGCCTCCTTAGATTTGGATCAGCCAGGATACACGTTCTTTCCAGGTACAGGGACGCCGTCTGTCACAGAGCTGTCAGTATCCCCTCTGATGATGTGCCTTAGCACGAAAGGCCTCAGGAGGAACTGACAGCCTGTGACGCCTGATCTTGCCGTTCAGACCACGTGGAGGTCTGACGGCCAACTATTGCTAGGGTCAGTAACTTGCTTTTATTTACTTTTATTAGCTCTTCACTGTGATTGTTCTGGCAACTTGCCAATATTGTCACTGACCTGTTCTTTGCAAGATTTTTTCAACAATAAAACATTTAGCATACTACACTATGGGTACTCTTCCATTTTTTTTGCCCCTCACTGAGGGATTGACAGACCCAGCTACATATCCTGTCCAGAGGAGGGAACCCTGTACCTGGAAAGAACGTGTATCCTGGCTGATCCAAATCTAAGGAGGCCCTGCTAGCCCAGCAGATTGACTAACGACACCTCTTCCCGGAGGATAACGACATCTGGGGGATTTGATACATATATGCGCATTTCCTATGCGCGGTCGGTGAGTGCGCATTTCTGCCATTATCTGGATTTGTTATAAGCTGTGCTCACCATATTCATGAATCGTTCGCAAGATTTTACGAACTTTTATTTTTGATCTAACTATTTAGATCGAATTTTGTAAAATTTCATATCATAATTTTGAGCGCTGCACTTTACTTATTTAATGATGAAGTCATAGACTACCGAATGAAGGTACGTTTTCGGTAACAGTCCTTCTCCTGCAATAGCAATTTATGGACTGAGGAAAACAGCTCAAGAGGGTGAGAAAGAATTTGGATCTGATACAAGACAGTTTGTCGAAAGGAATTTTTATGTAGACGACGGACTCAAATCTCTGCCCAATGAAGAAGAAGGTATTGACCGTTTTACTAGAATCCAGAACATGCTTGCCACTGCAAACCTCAGACTTCACAAAATCATCTCTAACAGCAACAAGGTCATGATGACCTTTCCTTCTGATGGCCATGCTGTCAGTGTGAAGAAATTCCAATTAGGATCTGACCTTTCTGCTACACAACACAGTCTTAGATTGCTTTGGAATGTTAAACAAGACACATTCACATTTCAAGCATCAGCCTGTGAGAAGCCCTTCACAAAGCGAGGAGTATTGTCTAAAGCGAACAGCATTTATGATCCATTAGGTTTCATTACACCTCTCACCATTCAGGGTAAAATACTGCTGAGACAACTTACTTCTGAAAGTTCAGACTGGGATACCCCCTACCCAAGGAGAAACAACAAAGGTCGGAATCCTGGAAACAGTCTCTAAAAGCATTAGAACAACTCCAGATACCATGCTCTTACACCCAAGCATCCTTAAAGAATGCCACCAGAAGAGAGATTCGTGTCTTCTCCGATGCTTCCAACAAAGCCATTGCTGCGGTAGCTTATCTTCGAGCTATGGATCTCAGCAGTAAAGTGGGTGTAGGATTTATCATGGGCAAGACCAAGCTTACACCAAAACCTGCACATACTATTCCAAGACTTGAACTTTGTGCAGCTGTGTTAGCTGCGGAAATTGCTGAGCTTATAAAACTTGAAACAGATGTTGAAATAGACTCCTTTGAAATTTTATACAGACAGCAAAATAGTGCTAGGATATATACACAATTGCACAAGACAGTTCTACGTGTATGTTGGCAACAGAGTGGAACGCATAAGGAAGTTCTCTATGCCTGAACAATGGCACTATGTTCCCACTAGCCTCAACCCTGCTGACCGCGGCAGTCATGCAGTACCTACTACTGCATTCCTGGACACATCTTGGCTATATCCACCAGTACTCTTGAATGATAAACTTATCTCAAGTTCAACAAATTCTACCTTTGAACTGGTTCATCCAGAATCTGATAAGGAAATCAGAGCTGTTACCATCACACTCAACACCTCCATCTTGGCTATATCCACCATGAAAGAAGGTTCTGCACACCTTTACTCAAGGCCTAGAAAGGAACTAGTACTTCTTTTGCCCAAAGAGGAAGACAAGTCATCAACCTGATTTAAAGGGAGGTAAGAAGGAATCGTGCATGTTGCTGCCTTCCCCTCTGAATATGGATTTCCATGTCTCAGCCTGGACTTTCAAGACCAACATCTGCAATTATTATGCTAAATGCTTGCATTGTTTTCCTTTGTTCTTCCTTTCCCTCTTGTTTTGCAGATGTTCCTGGAAACAATCTTCATTATTTATATGGGTCTTGAACTAAAGTTTATTATAATAGGAATCATAGATTTCGATGGGGAGTATCATGTTTCATATGACTGTTATATTGACTGTCATATGCCTTTTAAGTGTTTTCTGTATTTTGTCTCTGCTCCTCCTTTTCTTTTGGTTTAGTTAATGCTGTATAGATAGCCCACCCCCTTCCCAGTAATGCATTGCAGCTGTAGCCTCATGTCATGAAGCAGGACATATTATGATCTTTTGACCTATCCATTGTTATATGATTCTCTCAGTTTATGGAATAAACTTCACAAGATCTACAAGATATCTTCTGGACTAAGTCACTGCCTGTGTCATTCAGCTAAGATTGGAGTTATTGCTATCTCATCACAACTGTAAGTTACAGAGATCACACTTTCAATGCTTCAATTGGAGAGACAGAACAGACATAAGGAAATATGCTCTTTGAAAGCCTGAAGGTGGTCATTGGATTTGGGGGGGCCTGTATGTGGCTAGGCTGCCGAAAAAGCTCTCACATGTGGTATCCCATACTTGGGAAAAGTAGCAGAATATGTTTTGGGGTGTTATTCCACAAATTCATATGGCATGTGTGAGCAATAGATCATTTTAAGTGACAACTCTGTTAGACAAAAATGGACATTATACAAAAATTGTGGCAAAAAAATAAACTCTTCCATGGATTCAACATGCCTCTCAGCAAATTCCTTGGGGTGTCTACATTCCAAAAAGGTGTCGTTTAGGGTTTTTTGTACTTCCCTGGCATTTTAGCACCTCAAGAAATGCGATAGGCAGCCTACTTTGTAGACGCTATAACTTTTACGCAAACCAATTAACATACAAGTATTGGGAAATATTTTTTACCAAAGACATGTAGCAGAATAAAATTTGGCCTAAATCTATAACTAAATTTGAGTTTTATTGGATATTTTTTATAACAGAGAGTAGAAAATATTGTTTGTTTTTTTTTCAAAATGTTCGTTCTTTTTTCGTTTATATCACAAAAAATAAAAAACCCAGTGGTAATCAATTACCACCATAAAAAGCTCTATTTGTGTGAAAAAAAGGACATAAATTTCATTTGGGTACAGCATTGCACAACCACGCAATTACCAGTTGAAATTGTGCAGTGCCGAATAGCATAAAATGAGCTGGTCAGGAAGTGGGGAAAACCTTCCGGGGTTGAAGTGCTTTTCCCTTCTAGAATCCACCCCATGTGACATTTTGCATTGACTTGGGTGGCTCAGGAGGTTATATTGTTTTTTTTTTTCCCACAGTGAGAAGTATGATTTTATATAAGGTTTGTAATTATGAGAGAGGAAAAAGAATGTGCTTTTAAACTGTTGTTTCCTGGTGTCTGGAGAATTTTCTGCTCTTCCAGTTTTTGTGTGGCAGTTTCCCTGCTTTGTGTTACTGTGTGTCTAGCACAGTAATATCTGGCAGTGTCCTCTGATGTCAGTCTGTCTATTTGTAGATATGATGTGCTGAGCGAGTCATCTTTAGTTATTGTGGCTCTTCCTTGGAGTGAAGAGGTATAAGCTGTTTCTCCAGTATTGGTATAGATTCTACCAACCCACTGCAATCCTTTGCCTGGAGCCTGTCGTACCCAGTGCATACTATAATCAGTAAATGTGTACCCCGATGCTTTACATGATATTTTTACACTGGATCCAGGACTCTTCACCTCTGAACTGGGTTGCACAAGTTGTATGTCTGCCATAACGCCTGCAATCAAATACCAGATGTTATGTTATACAAATTATTTTTATAAAATAATAAAATAAAAAAGATTGTATTCTTCATTTTCTTCTTACCCAGAAGAGAAAACAAGTATAAGCTGATACACAAGAGAACCATGTTTCTTGTTCTTCCAGTCCAAGCTTACACGACACACTATGGGAACGTTCTTCTCTTTTCTACCTGATAGATTCACTCAGGAAGAGCGTTCTGAATTTGCATGTGCTGATCAGGGATATAAAATCTGGAGATCTGTGAGAAGCCAACTTCAGCAATCAGCAGGCAGTCCACCAAGTATATTATTAAGCAAATGTTAAAGTATCAGTAAACTGTGAATTTTTTTTTTTGTCATTGTTTTTCAATATATTTTCTCTACTCTTATGCTTAATGCTTATCTAAACTCGAAACAACAATGTACTGTATTGCAGTTTACCAATCCTTATATGTGGTGGCTGCATTTCTTTTCTTTTACTACACTTTTTCCCCTATTTTCACCTGGTGATCTGGCCAGCAAGTCTTCTGGGCAGATCAAGTCTTAGTTTTCAACTTCTTTTAACAGACCAAGCTGTCCAGCTGAGGGTTGAGACAAATTGAGTGCCTACAATGGTCAGCTTTTATTCATTAATGTAAAACCTTTATACTAAAAGGTAAAACAACTTTCTGCCACTCTTCATGAAGTGTTAGGCTGGCCATAAACCCAAAGATATTGTTTATTTAGGCCATGGATTAAACAAAGGAAATCTAACAGATTCCTCCATTGACATTGAACAGCACGAATGGACGTATGTCCAGCTGAGGGCTATTGTATTTCTAACAGAATGCTGACACTGAGGTTTATTTACTAAAGCTGGAGAGTGCAAAATCAGGGTCACTTCTGCATAGAAACCAATCAGCTTCCAGGTTTTATTGCCAAAGCCTAAGTGATCAAGCTGAGGTTAGAAGCTGATTGGTTTCTATGCAGAAGTGAGCCTGATTTGCACTCCCCGGCTTTAGTAAAAAACCCCAAAGCTTCAGAATACCAGCACAGTGCCTGCATTCAGGGTTGTGGATAAGGGGGTACCACCAGTCCTCCTGTACGGGGCCCAGACCAGCAGGGTGGCCCAGGCAGCTGTGTGAATTGGATGTGGGCAGGGAAGGTGATCAGCACAGTGTGGGGGGCAGTTACTGGAACCGATCCCCTGTATGGCCCTCTCCGCAGCAGCTGAAAGCTCTCCCTCCCGCTGTCTTTCAGCTGCTGTAGAGAGCCATACAGGGGATTGGTTCCAATAATTGCCCCTTCCTTTCCTGAATGAACACAATGAGTGGTTGGTACTGATCACTCACTGTGTTCATTCATAACTGAAGCCTAGTAAACTGTTTTTTTTGGGGGGGTGGGGCCCTGTCAGGTTTGCTGTATGGGGCCCCGTGGTTTCTGTCAGCAATCCTGCCTGCATACATTCATATTTCCACCTGGATTCAATATAGGTTTAGAAAACAGGGCCATCCATGGAATTTTAGCCGGTTCAGCAGGAATCATCCATAATTTGATGTGTGTATGGACAGTTTAAAGCGGTTGTAAAGGCACAGGGTTTTTTTACCTTCATGCATTCTATGCATGATGAATGACTTAATCATTCAGGGCCAACATGCAACCTTTATAGCTAGGATGCAGGTGATTTAAGCTGCGTAGTGTCCTTTATTGATAGGATTCAGGTGGCTTGAGCCGTATAGCGTCCTACAAACCATTAGTGCACATTTGCCCTGTGGACTTGTAGGCATATAAATAACATAAACACTTAAATGCATATGGACAAAGTTTTCTGCAGGATCCTGCTGCCAGTCTCTGGCACCAAGATCCAGCATTGATATGTGTATTTATTTATACCCATGTGTATGATCCCTTACAGTATTCCTTGCTAATAAATACCTTACTGATCCTGCCTTTTATCTGGATATTCTAAGTGGTATTGCTAATGCAGCCGATCTTCTATCAGAAGCAGAAATGTAGAGAGAGAGCTGTGCTGACTGCCGGAGTACTGGACTAGACTGAAGAGCTAGAGAGAGGAGAGGCAAGGAAGAGTCGCTGGCTGCCAGCCTCGCCACCCTGTTCAGCAAGGCATTTTGCCAGCAGGTGACCCAGAGCATCCAGACGGCGTGCTGCAACTGAAACCAGAGAACCTGTGGGCGCCCCCATCTGCTGTGAGAGAGAGAAACCTCCAAAACCTTTCTGGAAGCCATCGATGAAGTGAGAGAGTCCCATACACCAGCCAAATGAGTGAACACTGACATTCCTTTCAAATATGCCACTTTCCTGCACACAGTTGCAGACATTGAATATAATTACCATATTTGCCGGCGTATAAGACGACTGGGCGTATAAGACGACCCCCTACTTTTCCTGTTAAAATATAGGGTTTGAGCTATACTCACCGTATAAGACTACCCCTCTTCCAATGCACACCAAATAAAAATGAAAAAAAACATCAGATTTGATTTCAATATGGTATGGTATTTCAGTATGGTATTCCAATGATGGGGCGCTATTCCTCCCACTGACACCAATGATGGGGCATGATTCCTCCCACTTATACCAATGATGGGGCACTATTCCTCCCACTGACACTAATGATGGGGCACTATTCCTCCCACTGATACCAATGATGGGCACTATTCCTCCCACTGATACCAATGATGGGGCGCTATTCCTCCCACTGACACTAATGATGGAGCACTATTCCTCCCACTGACACTAATGATGGGACACTATTCCTCCCACTGATACCAATGATGGGGCGCTATTCCTCCCACTGACACCAATGATGGGGCACTATTCCTCCCACTGATACCAATGATGGGGCACTATTCCTCCCACTGATACCAATGATGGGACACTATTCCTCCCACTGATACCAATGATGGGACACTATTCCTCCCACTGACACCAATGATGGTGCCCCATCATTAGTGTCAGTGTGTGAGGAATAGTGTCCCATCATTGGTATCAGTGGGAGGAATAGTGCCCCATCATTAGTCAGTGGGAGGAATAGTGCCCCATCATTAGTCAGTGGGAGGAATAGTGCCCCATCATTGGTGTCAGTGGGAAGAATTGTGCCCCATCATTGGTGTCAGTGGGAGGAATAGTGTCCCATCATTAGTGTCAGTGGGAGGAATAGTGCTCCATCATTAGTGTCAGAGGGAGGAATAGCACCCCATCATTGGTGTCAGTGGGAGGAATAGCGCCCCATCATTGGTATCAGTGGCAGGAATAGTGCCCCATCATTGGTGTCAGTGGGAGGAATAGCGCCCCATCATTGGTATCAGTGGAAGGAATAGTGCCCCATCACTGGTGTCCGTGGGGAGGAGGAATAGTGCCCCATCGTTGGTGTCAGTGTGAGGAGGAATAGTGCCTCATGGTTGGTGTCAGTGGGGGAGGAATAGTGCCCCATCGTTGGTGTCAGTGGGGAGGAGGAGGAATAGTGCCCCATGGTTGGTGTCAGTGGGGGAGGAATAGTGCCCCATCATTGGTGTCAGTGTGGAGAAAAGTGCTCCATCATTGGTGTCAGTGGGGGAGAAATAGTGCCCCATGGTTGGTGTCAGTGGGGAGGAGGAATAGTGCCCCATGGTTGGTGTCAGTGGGGGAGGAATAGTGCCCCATCATTGGTGTCAGTGGGGAGAAAAGTGCTCCATCATTGGTGTCAGTGGGGGAGGAATAGTGCCCCATGGTTGGTGTCAGTGGGGAGGAGGAATAGTGCCCCATGGTTGGTGTCAGTGGGGAGGAGGAATAGTGCCCCATGGTTGGTGTCAGTGGGGGAGGAATTTTGCCCCATCATTGGTGTCAGTGGGGGAGAAATAGTGCCCCATCATTGGTATCAGTGGGGAGAAAAGTGCCCCATCATTGGTGTCAGTGGGGGAGGAATAGTGCCCCATCATTGGTGTCAGTGGGGAGGAGGAATAGTGCCCCATCGTTGGTGTCAGTGTGGAGGAGGAATAGTGCCCCATCGTTGGTGTCAGTGTGGAGGAGGAATAGTGCCCCATCGTTAGTGTCAGTGGGGGAGAGGAGCGGCTGCTCCTTCTTTCAGTTCGGCCGCTTGATTTTCGCGGGGCCGTTCGGCTCCGCCTCCTCGCCGGTGATTGGTCGCCTGTGTGCCTTTCCAGTGCTGGCGCCCAATCACCGGTGAGGAGGCGGAACCGAGCGGGCGGCCGGACCATCGAGCGGCCGAACTGAAAGAAGTAGCAGCCGCGCTTCCTGGACCGGATCGTCGTGGGGGACCGGGACCGGAGCCAGGTAAGGTACATCAGCCCCTCTGCCCACCCCTGTACTTGGTGTCCGTTAGAGGGGGGGTGGCGCCGCCCCTCGAAAAAGTGCCGCCCTGACACTGGCTTGCCGTATACCGGCGTATAAGACGACCCCCGACTTTTCAAAAGTTTTTCACGGGTTGAAAAGTCGTCTTATACGCCGGCAAATACGGTAACAAGTGTTGCAGCTTAATTCTCCCAGCCACTACTATTGAACACATTTGCAGCATAGTTCATTCATCAGAGCTGACCGCAGTGCACGCCTTCTACAGGCCAAATCACATCATTGTATCCCTAACCCACAGCTTACCCTCTTAAAGGAGCATCTACCACCATTGCCATTAGTTACTGCAGTCAAGAGAGGAGTTGCCCTTTTCCAGCAAATGCTTTTACCAACTTCTGACACCTTTTTTGCCTAAAAATTTCCAACTTGCTCGGTGCAATAAACGGACACCACCCAAGTCAAGTGCCACTTATAGGGATAGTACTTGTCCTTCCTTCTTCCCTTCTTCCCGTCCTTGTAATAATCAGCTCTTCCCAGTTAAAAGGTCTGGATCATTGTAGGGCACCAACTAGACCACAACGAGCGCACAGAAGATTCCTCACTGCATTTAAATAGACATTGACTACCCTACTTAAAGAGCGCTTTCCCATCTCAGATTTAAACCTTGCCATCAGATCCTGAGGGCTCAAAGCGAGCTAGTTCAA